ATGCCATTCTAGTCATATCACTTGCATGCCTCATTTGTGTACTCTAGTTCTAAATTTCTCCATGTTCTTTTCAATGTGGAAACTCTGGCCAAATTTCTCTGTGAACACGGCAAGTAGTAAAAACTCTGTTAGAGCGCCACGATCACCCGCACAACCCCGTGCCCTCCTCCGTAGTCCACTCCCATTGTAGGTGACTCTCTGCAACAAAGCCAATTAGGGTTAGCCTATATAAACCTGTACTGCCTTATTTCTAGTCATTCTTGCACATTTGATTCTAACATGGTATCAGAGCGAAGGTTTGATTCCCAGTGTGTGCACTTCGCGCATCCTAGTGCGGGGGGGTGTTAAAGGTCCACTGATCCCCGATTGGTCCTAGGGAACGGTTATAGACACATTGGCCTGGGGGGTTATGGGCGCACTCATCCGCTACACAAACAAGCCATTTTATCTCAGTGGTTAGTGGCTGGAATCCTGACAGCTCTCTCATTCCGCTGCGCCTCTCCCCTCCTCGTAGCTACTACTCTTCCACATCCTCTCATGTTGCTATCGCACCTGCCACGCCTCTACTGCGCATGCCATTGCTCCACCTGCTGCACCTCTGCTGCACCTGTCGTGCCTCTACTGCACCTGCCGCACCTCTGCTGCACTTGCCGCCACTGCCTACTGTAGCTGTCACATCTACAGCCTACTGCTAACTTGCTGCGAGTGCAATTCACGTCACCGCCTTGCTGTCGCTGCATTTGTCGCCACTGCATTAGCTACCGCTATATTTTATTGTCACTGCTTTTTCCGCTGCGCCTTTTCTCAAAGATACCCTTATTCTATTGGGGGGTGTGGTTTTGTACGGGTTTATGCTCAAGGCATTTACGGGTGTGTGTTGAAGAAAATTACTTGATATATAACAACCTATTGCGTTACTGTAGTGTAGTTCATTCTTGACCGTTGTTGATGATGTACCTTTCCCACCTTTGCCTTGCTTGCCTTGCCTCTATTTGTTATCCCCTCCCAATAGTGTAACCCTTTCTCAATGCTCTCGTTTCCACTTAGTTTTTACGAGAGGGAGCAGCACACCGGTAGCGGAATAGGGGGCAGAGATGTCAGAACTAGTATATAGGAATGATTGACTAGGTAGCAAGAATGAGCACAGGTACTAGGGTTGACTTAATTTGTTGTACCCCTTAGAGTATGCCCCACTACAACCTAGAGATTATCAAGATTTAAAGCTAGAATGACGCCGGACGCTAAGAGGGAAAGCAAGGTCAGGACGAGTGCAGATCATCAGGTACATGAGGCAGCCCACAAGCGCTGGATACGGGCCAATCAGCTCTACGGACTCATCCGAAAGCAGAGCTGGGAGCGAGTGACCAGTAGGCAGAGGAGTGGACTGTGGCGAGGAGTACGTGAAGCGGAAGCGCTGAAGGACCTGCTGCACCTTATGTGACTGAGTCAGAGTAATGGTGCGTCGTGCTCCATTCCGGGTGATCTGCAAGCCAAGATTGATGCGTAGCTCTCCCAGGTCTATGCACGTGTGTCTCTTGTGCAGCTCTGACTTCACGTGGGCGAGTCCCTCAGTGTCAGCAGTGGCAAAGACCAAGTCATCGACGTACACGAGGATGTAGAACGGCGGCAGTGAAGTGTCAGTGCGTAGAAACAACGACGGGTCACTAGTCAAAGGAGCAAACCCAAGAGCCCTAAGCGTCGTCCTCAATATGTCATGCCACCCGCGAGGGGCCTGGCGGAGATTGTAGACTGGCCGCCGGAGGCTCCACTGGATGCGTGCAGAAAACGGCCCAGTGAAGCCAGGTGGGCGGCGCAGCCAGATCTTCTTGTGCAGGCTACCCTGCAAGAAAGCAGTGCCGAAGTCAAGAGAGTGAAGCTCGTAGTAACGATGAGCGCCAACATGCAGCAGAACCCAAAGAGTGGTCAGCTTCGGGGTAGGGGAGAAGGTCTAGAAGAAGTCAACTCCCTGTCTCTGACTCAAGCATCGTGCAACGTAACGCGCCTTGAAGACAAGCGGAGAACCCGGCGGCCGCTTCACCTTGAAAATCCACATGCCACTGACGATGTTCACCCCAGGGGGAACAGCGTCGACGTAAATGCCTGTGGCTGACTACCACTGAGAGGAGTAGGGACCCTCACTCGCCTCTGCGTAAGAGCGTGGGGTTGGGAAGTCTGATGCATGTGGGTCTCCCTCAGGTGCAATCAGCATGGACACGAGGTGATGTACAACAGCTACAAAGCATTCAAAGTCCTTCAGCTTGTCCTCAAGGACGTCTGTGCTGGTCAAAGAGAGAGACATTATCCTTGCTATCGCTAATTAGGAATAGCTGCAGGTCATCGAGCCAGGTCTCAAACCGAATCGGGCGGCCCTCTGTATCGAATGTCAGAACGCGGAGGGTGGCCATAGCTACTGGCTCGGGACTTGCAGGGCAGAGTGATTGCAGGCAAACAGCAGCAGCAGGAGAATCTGGTAACCCAGGCAACTAGGCAGCGCGACGCGGCTCAGTGGGGCGGCGCGGCTCGGCAGGGCGGCTAGGCTTGGGCGGTGCGTCACGACTCGGGCGGTGCAGGGCGGCTCGGGTGGTGCAGCGCGGCTCGGGCTGTGCAGAGTGGCTCGGGCATGGCGGGGCAGTGCGGTGCTGGCAGCTGCAGCAGTGTAGCAGTCGCTGCAGCGTTGGCAGGGCGGGCAGAGTGCAGGGCACCGCGGGAAGGCGGCATGCCAGGCAGCAGGCGGTCGGCGAGGCAGCAGGGCGGGCGGCGCGCTGGGCGTAGCTAGCGGCCGCGGCTGTAGCAGGCAGCGCGCTAGGCTGTAGGCGGCCGGCAGGGCAGCAGGGCGGGCTGTGCGCAGGGCGTAGCGGGCGGCCGCTACAGCAGGGCGGGCGGCGTACGGGGCTGCGTAGCTCTATTGACACCCCCCCACACTGGGAGGCCCAAGACTGAGCACAGTGGCAACGGCCAACATGTGCATACACCGGGATTCGGATCCGAGACCGCTCTGATACCAGGTCAGAATCCCAACCACTAGACCATTGGGATAAAAGGGCTTGTTTCAGTAGCGAGTCAGTGCGTCCATAACCCCCCAGGCAAACGCGCTTGTAACCCCCCCTAGGATCGATCGAGGATCTCACAGTGTAGCTCTACTGACAGCGGGGCAGCGGGACAGGTGGCACGCGGAGCGTAGCAGGCAGTCGCGGCAGGGGCAGGCGATGCGCGGGGCTACAGGCGGCGCGCGGGGCTGCAGGAGGGGCAGCGCGCTAAAGAAAACGCGTGTTGCAGTAGTGGCGCGCGGCCAACAGGGGCATGTCAAGATTAGAAGCTAGAATGACAGCATTGAAATAATTGTGGGTACAAGTACTAACCCTAACATTGGGTTGTACCCTTTACAGGCTACCCCACCATAGCCTACACAGAACTAGCATATATATAGTTTTACAGAGATATACAAATGCAGATCGACAAGAGAGAGGCAGGGACAAGGGGAGTGAGGTAGATAAACGAAGGCGTGAAGTTGGGAGAGGTGGGTTGGGTTGGGATGTTGTATTGTATGTATGGTAGAGATCCATCCGCGAGACGATGGAAGGGGATAATAAGGAACTTTATGCACGAAAATCGTAATCCGATTACCTATAAAATGATTCAAAGTCCCTAATATAGATTACTGTGCTGCATTTGACTAAATGGATATTTTAGAATATGTCGAAGTAGGGATAGCTCTAATACAAAATCTGGAAATTTATGACATTTGAAGATGAGATATTCCGTCCATATTGACCTGTGTTGACAAATGAGAGCATCTAGATAAGCTCGAAAACATTGGAGCCCCCCTAACTTTGATATTTGGATGATTGGATAAAATATGTTACGTTGATAGTGGAGTGTAGATTGGAGAGAAATGCATGTAGTAATCCGCGCAACCCAGCCCAGTTTCCGCTGCCTGCGCTTGTGCAGTTTCTGCCGATGACTCCCCCTTTGACTCCGCAAGCCTGTAGCTATCCGCGCGGCCATCCCTGTGGTCGGTCCGCTGGTCGCCTGTTTTCCTTTGGCAGTCTCGAAAGCCTGCTGCTGCGAGCCATCCAGTCAGATTTTTGACTGCAGGCTTTGGCTGTCTCGTCCAGTGGTAGTATTTTGTTGAGCCTGGTCTGCTTCATTTGTTTCTGAGCTAGGCCTTCTGACATCATTACACTGCAGTTTCCAGCCGCGACTTGTGACAGTGTTGACGACGACAACCTAATTTCACGGTTGCATGGCCTTTAGGTCCTCGTATTCGCGCAAGGCATTTCGGAAGCATTAGTTGTAGTCCCTGAAACTCTTGCATTTCGTAAACCTCTTGTCACTTCAGAGACGTCCGTATCATGCGTGTTCCTGAGAGCACGCGCCGTCCTTCTCTCGCCTTCAGCTACGATCACGCAGATTGTTTTCTCGAAGGATATCGTAGCGCTCACTGATCGCGAAAAACACCGTGTAGCCCATTTCGAGTTTACTCCATAGCCCAATTTCGTACTTCGGTACACGGTATTATGTCGTCGTCGTCGTTTCCTCTCTTTTCGTGCCCCTCACGGCCATAGCTTCAAGTATCTGCATTGCGAAACACTGAATGTTTCTCACCCAACAATGCTACCTCATTATCTAAAGGACCCGAGCCAACTCAACACAGCTGTCACAGTCCACGATCGCGCAATCTATTCACTCAAGGAGTTCCTTATTAGGCTGTCTTTTAATGACCAAAGTTATTAACACTTCTTACGTTAACCATGCGCTTACTTGAGTTCGATCGGAGATATACTGCTGGTAGTCCCAATTGATGGGTCCCGGTGCTGCCTAGATGCGAAGCGGCAGAACACAGTGAGAGCTGTCAGGGGGCCAGGTGTGGTATACTGGGAGGTATTTTGAGGCGCCTCACAGTGGTATCTGTCAGGGACCTAGGTGTGACCGACGGGGAGCCTGTCGATGGCACACGGTGACGCGTGAGTCGACTCGAAGGTCGCCTGTGGTGGCGCGGCATGGCTCTGTCAGCATCGCACGCGCTGACGTCGCGAGACAGCTTCTTCCGCCCGCGCTACCTCAATGAGGCACCGGTAGGCATGCACTGGAAAGAATTTAGCAACCTCAGTAGCCTAGAAAATTTGTCTGCGCTACCTTAACGCTAGGCATGCTCTGGAAGGGATACGGACGACGCCTTACAGACTACGCAGCGCGTTTTTAAGGCCACTGTCAAGCACGAACATTGCTTAGAGAAGATGAGAATGGAGTGGAACATAGGTTCGCTCACTCCCCCCCTCATTCGGAATAGTTTTCGTCCCCCCCCCCCTCTACTCATCGCACCCTTCTCTTTTCCCGTGATCACCCCCGTTTCCGCCTCTTCCCCGTCCCAGGTGCTGAGCGAGGCGGAGGACCTGCCGCACCTGCGGGAGGTGGAGAACAAGTACGGCGCCTTCCTCTCCCACACGCACCTCGCCCTCTTCCCCCAAATTTACCCTTCGTTCACCTCCCATTTCCCATTTCCCCCCCTCCCTCTCTTTCCATTCCCCCCGCCCTGGGCCCCTGGTTACCGCCTTTACCACCCTCGTGACTTGGTCCCAGGTGCTGAGCGAGGCGGAGGACCTGCCGCACCTGAGGGAGGTAGAGCTGTGCGTGAACGCGGACCTGGTGCACGTGGAGAACAAGTACGGCGCCTTCCTCTCCCAGCCACACCTCACCTTCCGCCCCCAGCTCTTCTCCTCGCCGCTCTCCGACCGCTCTGCCGCGGGGCCTGGGCGGCCGGGTGGAGGGCGCGATGGGGAGGACGATGATGCGGACGTGGAGCCGTACCTGGAGAACAGGGACCCGGACGACGAGGTGGGGAGGCGTGTGGGGGAAAGGGGGGGGGGTCGGGTGTTTGAGTACGTGCGTGTGTGCATGTGATGAGTCGTCTTAACACGCGGACGTGGAGCCGTACCTGGAGAACAAGGACCCGGATGACAAGGTGGGGAGGGGGTGGAGGGGGGATGCCAGGGTGTGTGTGTGTGTGGGTGGGAGAGATAAGGTTGTTGCATGCGTGTGGGGAGACGGCTTCACACACGGATGTGGAGCCGTAGTTGGAGAAAAGGGACCCGGACGACAAAGTTGGAGGGCCTGAGGGTATGCGTGCGTGTGTGGAGGGGGCTGATTCTGAGTGTGTGTGTGCATGTGTGTCATCTCTCTCCCTGTCTGTCTGCCATCCCTCTCCGTGTGTGCCACCTCGCAGCACTATGGGGGCCCACCCATCATGGCGTACGAGCCTCTGTTCAGCTGGGAGACGGACAGAGCTGCTGTCATTGGCCAGCGCATGCCCATCAAGCCCATTGTCAGCAGCACAGTGTATGTGCCGTGCCCTCCCTTCCTCACCAGTCCCAGCCACTTTCCTCCTTCCTTTCAACTCCTCTCACATGCCACAGCACCATAGACATCCTTCTTCTTGACTCCTTGCACTCGTGATCTGAAAACTCTTAGAATATTGCACTGCCATGTGCGTCCGGCCGTTCATGACCCATGTGCTTCTGGGAACCCATGATCCATCTGCGTCCATTCTCCCTGAGTCCCCTCCTCCACCCACTCTGTACTGCCCCTGTTCCCCTCTCCCCCCAGCAGGAGAGGGCACGCGCTTCTCTGTGCGAATACTCTCATTCAACGTACCGGCGGGTCTCGTGGAGCCCTTGACGAATTTTGAGCCGCCTCAGAAACCCCACCCACCCTGTACTGCCCGTCTGTTCGCCCCACCCCCCAGAGGCACACGCTTCTCTGTGCGAATACTCTCATTCAATGTACCCGCGGGGCTCGTGGAACCCTTTTATGGCTCCATCTGTTTGTATCACACTGAGAAGAAGGAGAAGGTCTCAGAGGACTTTCACTTCCAGTACCTGCCTCTCTCCTGGGACGGGGTGAGTGCCTTAATGTCACAAAGTAATAGAAGCACGGTCAGTTGGGGAAACGAGATAACATGCATAGTCATCACACGAGGTCCGCATGGCCTGTCAGTCACATGCCTCTTCTCTCTCTCGTTTTCCTCTCCTGCTTCTTCCTTCTACATTGAGGTTTCAGTGTATGCGCACCTGCCTCATGTGCGAGCAATGACCGTGCTCACATGTCCCATAACACCTCTTCCGATCTCCCTTTTCCCCACTGTGCGTGTGTGTGTGTGGAACAGGAGAGCACGCCCCCCGAGCTGAGGGCGATATTCACGGTGGAGAGGGAGGCGGCTGCGCTGTGCCTGCTGGTGCAGGTGGAGCGAGCTGTCACAGAGGAAAGCATCAACGGCGTCAAGGGCTCTGTGTACACGCGCAAGGACCCTGTGAGTGGCTATTGATCATCAGCTATTGATATTTTTTGAAGTCAAGCACCCAGTGACTGTGACAGAATCGGCTGATTACCAATATCAAAATATGAACCAGGACCCAGTGAGTTCTCTCACTGCTGTCGCTGGTCCTTCTGCACCTCTTTTTGCACATCCGCCACTTCCTTCTTTCTTTGGTACTGCTGTCACAGGTGCTGTTGTACTCATCACATCACTATGCCTTGCCGATTAACATGCACCTGCTTTGCTCCTTGCTCACTGGATCTTCTTTCCATGTGTGCATGCAGCCCGTTTTGACAGAGAGAGAGGCATCCCGGCTCTCAGAATGGGCACAGGTCAGTCCATCTATTTTCTGTCTGCTTGAGTCGAAGAATTTATTCCCCTCAACCTCTTTCTGCACACGCCATGCCAACACCCAAGACTTCCGCGTCCATTACTCAACCCTGTGATCACGCTTTCACTCCATTTCACCCCCATGCCTTCTCCCCCATACCTACCTTCTCCCCCTCTCCCCCCCGCACAACCCTCACAGAGCATGCCGTTCCGCGAGGCCTTTGCGTTCGCCACCATTCCGCTCTTCGACTCTGCCGGCACAGGCGGCACCACCGGCTTCGGGAGCAGCAGCACAGGGGGGGGCACTTCCGGGGTGCTGGGCGGAGCAGCAGGGGGAGGGGCAGGGGAGGGCGCAGGGGGCCCTGGGACGCCAGGGTCTAGCAGTGGGGCGCTGGGGGAAGGGGGGGCTGCACCACGGTATGAGCTGGGAGGGCCTCTGCTGGTGGATATTCCGTGTCTGCAGCGCGTGAAGGAGTGCTATACTGAGGACCAGCTCTTTGTGCGTATCACAAGGGGGCTTGGCTTGAGATGCGTGCTGTTACGGGGGCTCATATGGCATTGAGGTGACTTTTGAGTCAACTCAAAAGTCACCTTGGCTTGAGATGCATGCTATTACGGGGGCTTATATGGCATTGGCTGCCTAGTCCACCTACTGCTACCATGTCCCCTTGCTTCGACTTCTCCACTTGCCACCTGTTCAGTACTTCAATCACACCCTCAACTCCTCCCCACCATTTCTCCTGCATTACCCCTGGTCCCCTGGCTTCCCTTACTCCTCTCCCCACAAAACCCCCTTCAGGACCCGAAGCGCAAGGTGCACAAGCCAGTGCGCATGACCATGCAGGTGGAGGTGGAGCGGCTGCCGGGCAGCACTGCTCTCTCCCACTCCGCCCAGGCGGGGCCTGCAGGGTCCAGCCAGGCCATGGGTCACACGCGGTCAATGGAGTCAATGGGGTCAGACGCGGATGAAGTGGGCGGGCTCAGTCGCACCTTCTCCATCTCCCGCCTGCTCAACGGGGTGAGTGAGCTTGGATGTGCTCAATGGGGCGAGTGAGCTGGCACGTGCAAAATGTGCTGCAGTGCTTTTTGTTTCAAATTCTCCTTTCTGCCCACTCATCATCATCCACTCGCAACTCGCTACGCAATCCCTCCACACTCTCCCCTTCTCTCCCCAACCCTCTGCCCCATGCCCCCCCCCGTCAGTTCCACGCGTTGGACTTCACGGACATGACACGAGCAGAGCCGTTCACACATCTGGAGCATCTGGCGTTTGTGTACCCGCACAGTGTGACTCTGCCCAAGAAGCTCAACCTCTTCATGCGCCTTGAGCTCCGTGACGACGACACCGACCTCCAGTCCTCACGCCCGCAGCTCGAGGTATGTTCTTTTCAAGGCTGAAGCTTCAAGCTGCAGTGCTTGTCGCTTCAGAAAGGGAGGTCAGTTTCAAAGGAACCTATTTGAGGGAGTGGCGACCTGAATTGCATGCCATGCGCCGAGTGGCCTCAAGTATTGAGACTTCTCAACGTCTAAACACCCTTCTTGCGCACTCCTCCTTTCCACCGTGGCAGCCCACCTTCCCCAAGGAGAGGGAGCATGCGATGCAGCGAGTGGCGTCGTCACAGGTGGCCATGAGCATGCACCCTCTTTTCCCTCCTCTCATCTTTTCCCCACCCGTTTCCCTCCCAAACACCACTCCCTCCCTTCCACCACCGCAGGCCATCTTCCCATGGGAGCGGGAGCATGCAATGCAGCGAGTGGCGTCGTCACAGGTGGCCATGGGCATGCGCCCATCGCTCTTCCACGACGAGTTCAAGATCCAGCTACCTGCTGTGCTGCGCCCCTCCCACCACCTCCTCTTCTCCTTCTTCCACATCGACCTTGCTGTCAAGGCCGACCGCCCCAAACCGGTGAGTTTATTCTGGTTCCCGAGACTTTAATCTGTTTGCCCCTGCTTTTGGGCCGAACCTGTTGTCTGATGGAGCTTTTTTGCTTGTAGACAATGCTGATGTGTATTGATGTGATGTGTGTGTTTTTCTGATGTGGCAGGTAGTGGTTGGCTACTCTGTCATGCCTCTATCAGCTGTCACCCAGTGAGTCATGAACCGACCACTAGTCATCTGTGTGGCGTTACTGTGTTACTGCATAGTCACCTCTCTAGTTTTAGAGACATCAAGTGCATTCTGTTCATGCTCGTCCCTGTCTTACGCTTTCTCCACTCACCACTGCACCATACTCAATCCCAGTCCAAACATGCTGCATTCCACTCCTGGTCCTTTCTCCACTCCACTCTCCCCCACACCCTCCTTCACCACCAGGCCGTTCAAGGGTGAAATGAATCTGCCCATACCCAAGGAGCTGCTACCAAAGTACCTGCACGAGAGCACCAAGGGGAAACACGTGCCTCTTTTCCCCCTCCCCTCCCCCCTCAGGTCATTCAAGGGCGAGATGAACCTGCCCATGTCCAAGGAACTTCTACCCAAGTACCTGCACGAGAGCACCAAAGCCAAGCTGACCTACTGGGAGGAGGGCAAGCCCGTGTTCCGCCTGCGCACGCGCCTCTTCTCCTCGCTGCTCCCCCTCTCCGACCGCCTGCGCGACTTCTTCCGCCAGTATGACCGCCACGTGCTCGAGGCTCCCCTGCCCCGGGAGGATTTGCTGGAGTCGATCAATGGGCTCAAGGGCGTGGATACGGTGGTGCTGCTGCAGTTCCTGTACCCGCTGCTCAACATGCTGCTGTGCATGATTGGGAATGGCGTTGAGACGCTGCAGGTGGCGGCGTTTCGAGCCACCGTGAACATTGTGTCCAGGTGAGGATGCTGGTTAGGATCGCCCTGTTCTGCTGTTCTTGCTGTATCCCGCTGTGCCCGAAGATGTGTCACACTCTGCGAACATGCAGAGCGGTCACAAATCCCCCTCATGCACACTTCCCCCACATCCCATTCCCTCTCCCCGGCCAACACCAGGGTGCAGGCGGAGCTGTCCCCCAACGTGCCGCGCAACCGTTTCCTGGTGCACTTTGTGGACTTTGTCTTTGACGACCTGGGCCGCCAGCAGCCGCCCGTCTACCCCGGCCTCAGCAACGTCTGGCGCTCCCTCGCCCGCAGCAAGGTGCCCGCCTCCGGCTCGGATTAGAATTGGGGTGCTCACGGGTTACGGTTGGGGCGCTCACCAGCATGAATTGTGACCGCTCATACATTTATTCCCTCCCCGCTCATGCTTCTCTTCTCTCTCTAACATCAACTGCTCCATCCATCCTGGCTTCCCTCCGCTTCCCGAGCCTACAGTCCCGGGGCTTCCGAGTGGGTCCGGTGTACAGCGAGGCACTGACCATGGCATGGTTTGTGCTGGAGCTGGTCGTCAAGTCCATGGACCTCGAGCTGGCTCAGGTTCCTCAAGGTGAGCGCTATGTGGGGTGCTGCAAGGTGAGCGTTGCCCAGGTGGTGCATACACGGTGAGGTCACTGTGATGGACATCAGCACTGTTCCTGGCATGGTTTGTGCTGGAGTTGGTCGTCAAGTCCATGGACCTCGAGTTGGCTCAGGTGCCTCAAGGTGAGCCACTGAGTGTCACTTGTATGGTGCAAGGTGTGATCTAGCTTGATCGTGACATTCCTACCCTACTTGTAAGCTGTAGAGTGAGATGTTTTTTTTCTTGGGATTTCCACCTCAAATGCTTGGTGCTAGATTCCATTATGTCCCCCTTCTCCAGCCCTCCTCCGCGCCTTCTCCAGCTCTCCTCCGCGCCTTCTCCAGCTCTCTTCCCCATCCCCGTTCTCCCCCTCTCCAACCTATCCATCACCCCCCTCCTCTGTGTTCACCAGGCGATGAGATAGCGCGGCTGAGGTTGGAGGACGAGGTGTTTCTGTGCATCCGGCAGCTCTTTGAGTGCCTGCTCGTCGAGGTGCAGGACAAGGCCGACTCCGACTACCCCCTCGCGCGCCGCCTCACCAACTCCCTCGCCTTCTTCTGCTACGACCTCATCACTGTCGTCGACCCGCCTCAAGTGTTCGAGCTGGTGAGTATAGAGTTGAGTCTGCTTAGAATGACTTGTTGTCAGTCGACTCACTTGTAAGTCGACTCAATAGCCGCCTCACCAGCTCCCCCCCACCTTCTTCTGCTACGACCTCATCACGGTTGTCGATCGGCTGTTCCACCGAACTTGTGCACCTATTAATCGTTTCTGACCATCTTTTCTTCCTTAACCAAAACGAGCTCTTTTCCCACCCGACGTCCTCTCCCCACACCTCCAGGTGGGGTTGTTCCTGTCACAGCTAGCAGGCATGTGTCCTGCGAACCAGCACTCCCTCAAGCTGCACTTCCTCCGCATCCTCTGCGACCACGACCTCTTTGTCGAGACGCCCGGCCGTGGTCCCACTGAAAAGTAAGTCCGTCTTGGAATGGCTTGTGAGGCACCTGAGATCAGATGATGTGCTCTGCAGAACAGCACTCCCTCACTCAAGCTGCACTTCCTCCGCATCCTCTGCGACCACGACCTCTTTGTCGAGACGCCCGGCCGTGGTCCCACTGAAAAGTAAGTCCGTCTTGGAATGGCTTGTGAGGCACCTGAGATCAGATGATGTGCTCTGCAGAACAGCACTCCCTCAAGCTGCACTTCCTCCGCATCCTCTGCGACCATGACCTCTTTGTCGAGACGCCCGGCCGAGGGCCCAGCGAAAAGTAAGTCCTGGAATGAGTCCCTCGTTCGTACCAGCTGTGGCGAGTCTCCTCTTTTCCTTCGCATTCTCCTCCCTGCTCGTGGGGCAGGAACTGTGCTGATAAAGGGCTTGTTCACGGCGTGGAGTTTAATACATTCCAAACTCATTTTCTCCCCTTTTTCCTTCTCTCCCCTCCCCTCCGCATCCTGCTGTTTCTGCTGAGTCAGGAACTATCTGTCGACAGTGCTGGTGAAGGACCTATTCACAGGCCTGAACCATGATGACCCCAACCAGCGAGCCACGGTGCGCCATGGCCCATGCATGCCATGCCATGCCATGCCTGTCTGCTATTTCATGCCATGCCTTGCGGCCTGATATTTGATGCCATGCTGCCTTGCCTTTTCTTCCCCGTGCCATGCCGGGCTGTTTTGCGTGCCATGCCGTGCGTGTGGCGTGGCGTTATCCGATGCTTTCCACCATATGCGCACTCACTGATTCGCATGCATTTCCCTCTTCCCCGCGTAATTCTCATACAGTCTCCCGTCCCGTCCTCACGGCCTTCTCTCCCCACCCTCACAGGCATCACGCATGCTCACCTTCCTGCTGGCCAAGCACGAGTACGATGCGCGCTACCAGCAGGCAGACCTCACCGGTTCTCACGCATTTTCCTCTTCATACAATCTCTCAGCCTCACCCCCCCCTCCCCTTCTCTCCCTGTCCTCACAGGCATCGCGCATGCTCACCTTCCTGCTGGCCAAGCATGAGTACGACGCGCGCTACCAGCAGGCGGACCTCAAGCTCTACATCTCGCAGCTCTACTTCCCCATCGTCACCCAGGTGGGGCACTAGTCACCCAGGTGCGCTCTAGTCACCCAGGTGCGCTCTAGTCACCCAGGTGCGCTCTAGTCACCCAGGTGCGCTCTAGTCACCCAGGTGCGCTCTAGTCACCCAGGTGCGCTCTAGTCACCCAGGTGCGCTCTAGTCACCCAGGTGCGCTCTAGTCACCCAGGTGCGCTCTAGTCACCCATGTGCACACTAGTCACCCATGTGCGCACTAATCACCTGGGCGCGCTCTAGTCACTCAGGTGCGCTCTAGTCAATTAGGTGCGCAGCGCACTAGTCACCCAGGTGTGCTCTAGTCACCTAGGTGCACTCTAGTCTAGTCACCCAGGGGAGCTGCTTCTAACTAGCCTTCTTGGCACGGTCTGGGCGCATTTCAAACCCTGCAGGTTGCAGTCTACTTCCGCGTAGCCAACCAGGTGGGCCATATCTTGTCCAGTGGTTACTCAATTCCTGAACAGTCTGGTTAATGGTCTCCATTCCTGTCTATGGTCAGTCAGGTTCATGCCCATGGTAACCCATTAAGGCTAAATCCCATGGTCTATCTTATCCTCATTTCCCTGCCCCTGCCCCCACTCTCATGCCCGTCCTCCCTCCGCCCCAATTTCCCCACCAGTTATTAGACGACCCGCGTGTGTTCACGCGCCTGGGGGTGCTGCAGAAGCGGCAGGTGGTGGTGGCGGTGCTGGCGGTGCTGCGGCATGTGGACAGCGAGACGCTGCTCAAGGCATGGAAGCACAGTGCCCCGCGCACACAGCTCTTCTTCTCGCTGCTGCAGGAGTCACTCTTCCTCTTCCAGGTGAGGGCTGCCGCCCCGCCACACCGTGTACCGCCCCGCCCCGCCCAGCTACACCGTGTGCCGCCCCGCCCCCTTCTTTAGCTGCTGCATGAGTCGTTCTTCCACTCAGCTGGACAGTGCTTTGCGTTCTTTGTGTGTTTTTGCTTTCTTTCAGCTCTCTTCTTCTCAATCTCCGTTCATCTACACCCCACCATCCCCCTTCTCTCTTCTCCTCACCCACCGTCCACCCCTTCCCCTCCCCACCAACAGTACACGGGCCGCACGGGGGTGAGCGCAGGCGAGCTGGGGGCAGTGGTGCGCAACCATCACAGCCTGGACGGCAAGGGGTGCAGCGCAAGCGAAGCTCATCTGTTTCCTCCACATCTTCCCTCACACTTTCCCCACCCCCACCCTGCAACCCTAACAGTACACGGGGCGCACGGGAGTGAGTACGGGTGAGCCGGGCACGGTGGTGCGCAACCATCACAGCCTGGACGGCAAGAGGTGCAAGGGGCTCACTGGTTTCTCTCACACCTTCTTCCCCACCCCCAACCCCAACAGTATACGGGTCGGACGGGAGTGAGTACGGGCGAGCTGGGGGCAGTGGTGCGCAACCATCACAGCCTGGACGGCAAGGGGCGCAAGGGCGGCAGTGAGGGGGAGCTGCCGCCCTTCCCCCTCTACTCCGACCGGGTCTCTTTGTCCGCCAATGACTCACTTGACAGCATGGCGCTCGCAGATTCCAAGGTGGGGAGAGTGGGTGCTGTGCTGTGGGTGGGTTTGGGAGGAGGGTGCTGTGGGTCGACCTAGAAGTCTCCCTGTCCGCCAATGATTCATTTGACAACATGGCGCTGTCAGATAGATCCCAAGGTGGGGAGAAGAAGAGTGCTGTGCCGTGGGTGGGAGGGTGGCTTGGGACGAGAGTGCCATTGTTTGACTCGAAAGTCTCCTTGGGAGCCAGCGACTCGCTTTACAACATGGCGCTCGACGAGTCCCAAGGTGGGGAAGGAGGAGATGTCATGAGCTGTTAGGGTCATGGTGGAGCAAACTCACATCACAAGTCTCCTTGACACAAGGTTATTTTTCAGACCATACTCACATCACAGGTCTCCTTGACACAAGGTTATTTTTGAGACGTCTAAAAAATGGCCTTTTATCAGGAGGAGAGTGTCGTGAGCTGATTGGGTCATGGCGAAGCGTACTCACATCACAGGTTTCCTTGGGTTGGGGCCTGCAAACGACCCTCTCGAAGGCATGGCACTGTCGGATTTCATGGTGTCGTTTGCTTTCTCCCCAACCCACCTTCCACTTTGATTTGATTGACCTCCCAGCACCGCCCACCGATATTGCTGCAGGACGAGCCCCAACAAAGCTCTCCTGCCATTCCCAATTCCCCACATGTCCCTGGCCCCTCCAATTCTCTCTGTCACTCTACTGTCCCGCCCCTGCCTTCCCTCTTCCTGAAGGAGAGTGGCAAGCGGAAGCAGCTGGTGCGCAAGTACAGTGGGCTATCCTCCACTGCTGCACCACCACAGCCTGCCAGTCCCATTTTTTGAGGCGCCTAGAAAATCTCCACTGCTGCACCACCACAGCCTGCCAGTCCCACCCACCCCCCCCCATCCCTCTGCTCCTCCGTCCTTTTCCTTCCCACCTCTTCCCCCCCCAACCCCACCCGTCTTTCTTCAGGGGAGTGGCGAGCGGGAGCAGCTGGTGCGCAAGTACAGCGGGCTATTCTCCACCGTCGCACCCTTGCAGCCTACTGCCCGGCCTCCCATCCCTCTGCTGTTCTGCTCCTCCACACCCCCCACCCCACCCCCACGCCCCTCTTCCTCCAGGAGAGTGGCGAGCGGGAGCAGCTGGTGCGCAACTACGGCGGGCTATTCTCCACTGCCGCACCGTTGCAGCAAACCACCCCTCCCTTCCCCGTCCCTGTGCTCTTTTGCCCCTTTCCCTCCCTTCATCCTTCAGGGGAGTGGCGAGCGGGAGCAGCTGGTGCGCAAGTACAGCGGTGTATCCTCCACCGCCGCATCACCGCAGCCTATTGCTGTCCCAACCCCACCATCCCTCTGCTCTTCTGCACATTTCCCACCCTAATCCCCCACTTTTCCTCAGGGGAGTGGCGAGCGGGAGCAGCTGGTGCGCAAGTACAGCGGCGTATCCCCCACCTCTGCACCACCACAGCTCTCTGCTGTCCAAGCCTCCATCCTTCTGCTCTTCTGCTTTCCCACCCTAATTCCCCACTTTTCCTTCAGGGGAGTGGCGAGCGGGAGCAGCTGGTGCGCAAGTACAGCGGTGTATCCTCCACAGTCGCAACACCACCGCCTACTGCCCGCCCGCCCGTGCCGCTGCGGGAGGAGCTGAGGCGCGCCCGGGTGGCGCCGCTGGAAGCCATGACCATTCTCAGACAAGGCTTGCCGCCCGTTGCTTCCGAGAAGCTGGTGAGTGAGCCGATTTCAATCCGCCTTATGGTTGTTTATCGGGCTTAGGAATTTCTCCCACTTTTCCCTTGAAACCCACTTTTCATATGAAGGCTGGTTGGGGCGAGCAATGCAATTGGCAAAGACTTTGGGTGTCAGGGCCAAACTCAACCGAAGTTAGGAAGGTTGAACCAATTTAGACCTTCTTGGCCCTCCGGTTTTCAGCAGACTCCAGCTTGGAGGTACCATAGAAGTTTCTGAAAAGTTGCCAGGTCCCAGCCCTCTGCTTCCCATGCCCATGTTGCCAAATCCCATACTGAGCTTACAGTAGTTGTTTTGGGGGTATAGTAATTAAGCAGTTTTCACTTCCCTCCATCCCTTACCTTTCCGATCGCCCTCACCCCTCTCAGCTCAGGCCATGTAGGAAGCGGAGATGGCAGGGTGGGCATCCCTGCTCTGCAGGTACTGCAGGTACTGCAGGTACTGGAGGTGCTGGAGCAGTTAGGTGAGGAGTGCTGCCTCGCCCTCCTTGCTCATCTCGACCCTTTCTTGTGCACTTCTCCATCCCACGCACCCCAGGCCATGTGGGAGGCCACAATGGCAGGGTGGGTGTCACTGCAAGTACTGGAGGTGCTGGAGCAGTTCAGCGACCTGGCAGCAGAGGGCGCGGTGGTCACGGACCATGACACCATGGACTGCCTCACTGGCCCCATCTCCGCGCTTCTCAGCATGCCCCAGGTAAGCCTGCCTCAGGTAACGCCTGCCCTCAGCCTGCCCCAGCAGTTCAGCGACCTGGCAGCAGAGGGCGCGGTGGTCACGGACTATGACACCATGGACTGCCTCACTGGCCCCATCTCCGCCCTCCTCAGCATGCCCCAGGTAACACCTGCTCTCAACCTGCCCCAGGTAACACCTGCTCTCAACCTGCCCCAGGTAACACCTTCTCGGAGCTTGCCCCAGGTAAACACCTGCCAGAAGCTTGCACCAGGTAGTGCCTTCTGTGTTTGTTTTGTGCCTTGCCTCTCTTCCCTTCCACACCCTTCTCTTGCCCCTCACGCTATGTTGCCTCCTTGTTCTGTTGCTGGTCAGCCAGTGTTGTTCTGGGAGATGCTTGCGCCAACTTTGGTAGATATGTTTTGGCTGCACTGTGCACACAGAAATCCCTTGTTTTTTTATGCGCACTCCCCTACAACTTGTTGACTCTCTCTACCGTGCTCTTCCATCCCCTCCGTCTCCTCCTGGCCAGCCGGTGTCGTTCTGGGAGGTGTTTGTGCCGGCCTTTGCAGAGATGCTGCGGCTGCACGGCCGTGCAATGCTGGCGAGCAGCAAGGCGAATGACGCGCGCCTCAAGGACATGTTTGGCAACCTGCTCAAGCGCCTCATTGTGAAGCCCGAGTTTGTGCGCAAGCGAGCACTGCTCTGCCTGCTGCTGCTGCTGCGGGTGAGTTGATCGAAAATCAGCAGAGCTCAAAGTTTCAAGGCAGAACGAGCTCGCAAGAAGCAGAGCAAACGACGCGCAGCTCAAGGAAATGTTTTGAAGTTTTCCTCTCCACCATCTGCCCAGCCCACTATCGGAGCTGCACTGTTTCGAGCCACCCACCGTTGCTATCCCCCGTTCCCGTTCCCCCTTCCACCCTCCTCCCCCCATCCCGCCTTCCCCTCCCTTACCCACCAGACGGCCCTGCTACACATGGGCAATGTGCACCACCTGCGGGTCATCCTCACAGTCGCCCTCTCCGAAGTCATGATGCAGCTGCGCCTGCTGCAGCGCGGCGCCAGGCCCGGGGAGATCACCGAGTCTCTCGAGGTGGAACGGCTGCGCTTCTCATTGGAGGAGCTAGGCTCGGAGGAGACGTGGTTCGGGTTGCTGGCAGAGAGCGGGCTTCCGGACATGTGTCTGGAGATTATGGTAGGGGATGAGGAGGCGGATGAGGCAGATGAGGATGATGAAGAGGAGGATGAGGAGGAGGATGAAGAGGAGGATGAGGATGATTATGATGAGGAGGATGAGGAGGAGGAGGAGGAGGAGTTTGATGATTTGGATGAGTATGATGGGGAGAATGGGAGGAGGAGGCGGCGGAGGAGGGGAAGGAGGGGGAGGAGGAGGGAGAGGAGGATTCGGGACCGGTGGTCGAGGAAGAATGTGGATGAGCTGCAGGACATGCTGCTCACCGTCGTGGACGCTGCTTCACAGCACGAGCAGCTGGTGAGGGTAGTGGGTTGCCTTAACAACACGAGCAGCTGATGATGGCTTAAAGCTGATGACGCCTTAACAACACGAGTAGCTGATGACTCAGTGGTATATTCAGTCACGCAGGTTCAGGAGTTGCGGGGTTTGCTGCTCATTCTAGTGAATTCGGCAGAGCAGTGCAAGCAGCCGAGGCCAGCACTGGCATGTATCCCAGTCTCTGGCTTGGCCTACTTGGTCCATCCATCCAGAGTGCCAGCAGCACGGCAACGCGTGCTCCTCTTCCAGACATGTTGAACGAATCCTCTCTCCCACGCGAAAGCAATTACTTTGACTCGCCTTTCCCCCCTCATTCCTCTTCCTGTAACTCTCCTTCCTCTCCCTGTGTCTAGGTTTCCCCTCGCAGATGGAGGGGCTAAAGACGTCCAACGACCGGTACGCGATAGTGGAGAGCTACTACATCCTGGCGCAGGCATATGGGCGCGTGGCGCGTCTGAGACGTGGTATAGTACAGCCTCAAGCCCTTAGCCTTCCAATCCTCCTCCATGTCTCCCCTCTGTTCGCATGCAGATGGAGGGGCTGAAGACGTCCAATGACCGGTATGCAATAGTGGAGAGCTACTACATCCTGGCGCAGGCAGGTACATGGGGAGCGCAGCCCCTCAATGCCCCTTTCTATGTTCCCCCCCCTCATACCATTCTCTCTCCCTGTGCAGATGGAGGGGCTGAAGACGTCCAACGACCGGTACGCGATAGTGGAGAGCTACTACATCCTGGCGCAGGCGTACGGGCACGTGCCGGACCTCTACATCATGTGGATGCTGCACCTCTGTGAGGCGCACCAGGAGATGAGCCAGTGGGCCGAGGCTGCTCAGTGCGCTGTGTCCGTGGCGGGGGTGGTCATTCGGGTGAGACACACAGCTGATGAACTGGATTGGGATTAGGGCTGAAGGGCCGAGGGCTGGGTGGTAGGTTGGTTGTGGGGAATTGGATCGTGCCTGTGCGAATCCCATCGCACATGCTTAAAACAAATCCCGTTGTCTTGTCTCCCACCTCATGCCCTGTCTCACCACACCGCAGGGTCTGCACGCGTCCACCACGAGGGAGTGCGCGTGGGAGGCCGAACACCTGGAGCTCCTCTGGCGGGTCTGCCCTCTGGCCCGCCACCAGTGGCGTGCGCGCCCCTCGCGCCCCTCCGCCCGCCCCCGCCTCCCCAACAGCGCCTCCAAGAGCGGTGCGGGCGGGGGCAGCGCGGGCGCGGCAGCAGGGGGAGGGGGGGAGAGTGACTTTGGGGCGACGTGTCTGAACACGGACAGCGCGGTGAAGTACCTGCAGATGGCGTCCAGCTTCTTTGCCAAGGCCGAGCTCTTCCACTTCTGCGCTGAAATGCTCTCCCTCACCATCCCCGTCTTCCGCTTCCGCCGCGACTTCTACCAGGTACGTGTCCCTCTGGGGCTGGGTGTGTGTGCGTTTGGGGCATCCTTAGCACGCATGCAGTAGGTGGGTGTGCCAGGCATGTGCTGAGAGCTCTTCCGTTTCTGCGCTGAGATGCTCTCCCTCAGCAGGTAAGAGCCATCCCCGTCTTCCACTACCAGTCAAGGATGGCTCCCTTTTCGAGTTGACTCAAAGAATTGTAAGTGTGGCTCCCCTGGCAGCATGGTCATCTGGTTGTTGCCTGTTCCGGGGAGTTGTATGTCCACAATGCACCACATGTGACCATGGAGTCACGTGTGTGAGAATATGCTAAAAAGGCTTTCTTCCTCATCCCCGCCCATCCCCACCTCCACCCCCCCCTTCACAAATCTTCTCCCCTCACCTCCATATTGCTGACAGGCATTTACGACAAAGCGATACATCATGAGTATTGAGCCCCTCTTGCTCTCTCCCTTCACTCACATTCCGACTTTCTGCGTCCCTCTCTTGTTCCCCTCTGCAGCTGTCCAAGTGCCACACGTCACTCTCAGGCATCTATGACAACGTGCTGGCTCAGGAGCAGAACCCAATCCCCTTCAAGGACGCAACATACTATCGAGTCGGCTTTTATGGGGAGCGATTCGGATACATTGATGGCAGGTGAGCTATTTGGTCACATTGATGGCAGGTGAGCTATTTGGTCACATTGATGGCAGGTGAGCTATTTGGTCACATTGATGGCAGGTGAGCTATTTGGTCACATTGATGGCAGGTGAGCTATTTGGTCACATTGATGGCAGGTGAGCTATTTGGTCACATTGATGGCAGGTGAGCTATTTGGTCACATTGATGGCAGGTGAGCTATTTGGTCATATTGATGGCAGGTGAGCTATTTGGTCACATTGATGGCAGGTGAGCTATTTGGTCACATTGATGGCAGGTGAGCTATTTGGTCACATTGATGGCAGGTGAGCTATTTGGTCACATTGATGGCAGGTGAGCTATTTGGTCACATTGATGGCAGGTGAGCTATTTGGTCACATTGATGGCAGGTGAGCTATTTGGTCACATTGATGGCAGGTGAGCTATTTGGTCACATTGATGGCAGGTGAGCTATTTGGTCACATTGATGGCAGGTGAGCTATTTGGCCACATTGATGGCAGGTGAGCTATTTGGTCACATTGATGGCAGGTGAGCTATTTGGTCACATTGATGGCAGGTGAGCTATTTGGTCACATTGATGGCAGGTGAGCTATTTGGTCACATTGATGGCAGGTGAGCTATTTGGTCACATTGATGGCAGGTGAGCTATTTGGTCACATTGATGGCAGGTGAGCTATTTGGTCACATTGATGGCAGGTGAGCTATTTGGTCACATTGATGGCAGGTGAGCTATTTGGTCACATTGATGGCAGGTGAGCTATTTGGTCACATTGATGGCAGGTGAGCTATTTGGTCACATTGATGGCAGGTGAGCTATTTGGTCACATTGATGGCAGGTGAGCTATTTGGTCACATTGATGGCAGGTGAGCTATTTGGTCACATTGATGGCAGGTGGGCTATTTGGTCACATTGATGGCAGGTGAGCTATTTGGTCACATTGATGGCAGGTGAGCTATTTGGTCACATTGATGGCAGGTGAGCTATTTGGCCACATTGATGGCAGGTGAGCTATTTGGTCACATTGATGGCAGGTGAGCTATTTGGCCACATTGATGGCAGGTGAGCTATTTGGTCACATTGATGGCAGGTGAGCTATTTGGTCACATTGATGGCAGGTGAGCTATTTGGTCACATTGATGGCAGGTGAGCTATTTGGTCACATTGATGGCAGGTGAGCTATTTGGTCACATTGATGGCAGGTGAGCTATTTGGTCACATTGATGGCAGGTGAGCTATTTGGTCACATTGATGGCAGGTGAGCTATTTGGTCACATTGATGGCAGGTGAGCTATTTGGTCACATTGATGGCAGGTGAGCTATTTGGTCACATTGATGGCAGGTGAGCTATTTGGTCACATTGATGGCAGGTGAGCTATTTGGTCACATTGATGGCAGGTGAGCTATTTGGTCACATTGATGGCAGGTGAGCTATTTGGTCACATTGATGGCAGGTGAGCTATTTGGTCACATTGATGGCAGGTGAGCTATTTGGTCACATTGATGGCAGGTGAGCTATTTGGTCACATTGATGGCAGGTGAGCTATTTGGTCACATTGATGGCAGGTGAGCTATCTGGCCACATTGATGGCAGGTGAGCTATCTGGCCACATTGATGGCAGGTGAGCTATTTGGCCACATTGATGGCAGGTGAGCTATTTGGTCACATTGATGGCAGGTGAGCTATTTGGTCACATTGATGGCAGGTGAGCTATTTGGTCACATTGATGGCAGGTGAGCTATTTGGTCACATTGATGGCAGGTGAGCTATTTGGTCACATTGATGGCAGGTGAGCTATTTGGCCACATTGATGGCAGGTGAGCTATTTGGTCACATTGATGGCAGGTGAGCTATTTGGCCACATTGATGGCAGGTGAGCTATTTGGTCACATTGATGGCAGGTGAGCTATTTGGTCACATTGATTGTAGCTGTGCTTTTTGGAGCCCCTTGCCGGCCTTAGGTTGCTACAATGTTCATGCGTCCTCATCCAACCTATCCTCTCGTTATTGTCGAATCGTCTTACAATCTGCACTGCATCTGCTTCCCATCCACATCCTCATTGCCATGCCATCCTCTTTCATTACCCATCCACCTGCTGGGAATTTATCTACCAGGAGCCTCGGGAGGTACGGCTGGGAGACATATTGTAGGGGCTGAACCCTGGATACAACAAGAAGCCTCTGTTCCATGCCCATCTCCATGCCAATCCCCTTGTCAACCGCAGGGAGTTCATCTACCGGGAGCCTCGGGAGGTACGGCTGGGAGACATCATGGAGAAGCTGAAATCGCTCTACGACGCACGCGAGCCCGACGAGGAGCCCCTCCACGTCATCCAGGACTCTCGCCAGGTGGACCCCGCTGCCCTCAAGCCCGGCTTCGTCTACATGCAGATCACCGCCGTCGAGCCTGTCGTTGGGATTGGCGACGACCGCTGGCTCGGCCGAACCATCGACCCAGCCGTGGCGGGAGCTCCGGTGTTTAATTGCTTCTTTTTTGACACGCCGTTCACGCCAAACGGGAAGCAGCACGGGCGGATGGAGGACCAGTGGAAGAGGCGGACGCTGGTGTACACCCAGAGCACGCTGCCGAGCCTGATCAGCCGGCAGCCGGTGGTTCGGTCAGAGGTCCGGGAGTACTCGCCCCTGCAATGTGCCGTGGAGATTATTGAAAACAGGTCGCATGCACTAGAGATGGAAATGGCGAGCCAGCTGGGAGCTGCGGGAGGAGCAGGGGGGGGAATGGGAGGAGGGGGAGGAGGGGGACGTGTGCCACAGGACCCAGCAGCAGTGACAGCACTGATCGCAGCAGCTGCAACAGCCGGCGGGACACTACGGCTGCCCCGGATACAGACACTGCAGCGGTTGCTGCAAGGGAGTGTTGCGTTGCAGGTTAACAGCGGGGTGCTGGGTGTATGTATGGCTTTCTACGAGGCCAATCCTCATGGCCAGGAGCCGAGACCCAAGGACCCGTCGAAGCTTCAGTCACCGTCGGGTGTTGAGACATTGACAGATGCGATCGTGCGGTTTGTGGTGGTGTGCAAGCGAGCGGTGGCGGTGCACGGGCGGGCCGTGACAGAAGATGATAGGGATTTCCAGGAGCAGCTTGAGAGGAGCATGGAGGAGCTTGAGAGGGAGATTTCACCCTTCATTCCAGTGCTTAGGAAATGAAAATTCCTGAAACGCACTCACCACGAAGTCAGTACGCCCTAACAGGGTGAGTTAGGTCGAATGTATGTAGGCGTATCATCCTCGAACACCTTTGAGGACGGCGCAGGTCGAATCGAAGGCATCGACGACTTCACTGGAGCATATGTAGTCTTGGCTCAATAACACTGCCAAACCCTTTCTGAAGTCATATTTGAGCCAGTAGCATGTATGCAGAGCTAGTAGCCAGCTGGTAGTAGTAATATACAGTTTTCCAAGGAGGCAGTGAAGTTAAGGAGGTTCAGTACGGTATGTTGCTGAAAGTTGAAACCCACATTCTACAGACATTGCGTACATCAGAATTCACGCTTCTAATCGAATAGTTCCTGAGCGGATTTACGCATCAATTCCGGCTGAAAAGCCCTGACCAATCAAAGCCCTCGGTATCAAACGCTCCTTGTTCGAGTGCTCGTCCACGTCAGAGAGCAGTGGTACTCTGATTGGGCGCGCTGGTCGAATCTTGGTCTGCTTTCACATTTTGCTCTCGCTGTCAACCAATGGAAAGCACAAAGTATTACGGGCAGCCTCGGAAAAGGAGTTTGTGTAGCAGATTCTTGCGCGAAAAAGGGAACTTTGTGCTGGCAGAGCTTATCCCGTAAAGCTCACCCTTCACCTCAAATTTGATCCCACCCCTCCCTTCCTAGATTTCATCACCTCATCGTTCTTGCTGGGAGTTTATACTCACTCTACCGCAGTGCCTGCAGCGTCGAAACACTCCCTTTTTGGGACTAACACGCTCCTTCCTGTAACTAGTGTTGCCGTTGCTTCGTACAAGACCCAGGCCAGAGTCCTCGCATCTGGCATTTTCTTTGAAGAGTGTGCTAGTTATCCATTAGTAGCTCAATCTTCCCGCTTCTCTCGCAACCGCCGCTCATGGCCGCCAGCATGTCCCTGGATGTGGGAGCCGTGCGGTGTCGCGACATCAAGCTAGGGCAGTCGTCCTTCACGAGGAGTGCGGAATTTGCGAGCGCCGTTAAGATGCCGTTGAACGCAGCAAGCACCCGGAGATCCAACGGCTGTCGGCTGTCGCTGCGTGCGGCGATGATGGAGACGCCGCCGGTACCGATGAAGAGCCACGAGGAGCGAAACCTGTACGTCCCAGTTCCTATACATCGTAATTCTGGCTCTTTCGAGTCGTAATATTGAAGCAACAAAGAAGGAGAAGTCTAAACCCTTGCACGTCTAGCTGTGATCACGTAAGTCGTGACCTTGTCCTGTTGTTCTGGTTTTTTAGTAGCACCCCGCAGTTTTCTTAGCCTCCTTGATTCCAGGTTGAAATGGGGAAGTATTTGAAGTGTTTTTCGAGCTTTGTCGCCGGGTTGGAGGAGCAGAAGAGTGGGTGAGGATAAAAATTTCGCCGTGTGCCTTTTATCTTCGAGGCCTCTCCTTCCGTTTGTTCTTGAGCGGCTTATAATGCACGTCCATGATGCTTTCATGTTTTCGGTGGCAACTCGGTCTGGCTGGAACTTATGAATTAGCCCGAGGAATTCGAACTGGGTGAATGGCTAGAAATTGAGTGATTATACGCAAGCATTAGAGTTACATAACAGATAAACAAACAGATGGAACACGTGAGTTGGTTTCCTTTCCCGCCTTCTCTCGAAGGTTGGAATTGTCTCAAAACAGCTGTGAATATTGTAACCGTCTCCAAATACCTTCTCTTACATGCCGATTTATCCATCCTCGCCTTCCCCTACTCCGTCCTCATCATCCCTTTCTCTCCCACGCATCCATCAAAGTAAGCCCCCGTTCCATCCCAAAGTCATACTCCTCATCTTACACCCCCATCAACCCCCTCAGTCCCTCCGTCGTCTCTACTCTCCATTCCCCGCAGCCCACACTTCGAGCAGTTCACGGCCAGCGTCCCAACTCACACTATTGTATCCCCCCCTCCCCTCCTCCCAACCCCTTTCTCCAACGACTTTTTTCTTTCCCTCTGCCTCCGTTCCAGGCCGCACATTGAGCAGATCAAGGCGCTCTCGCTCATAACGGCCATCAAGACGCCGTACCTGCCGGATGGCCGCTTCGACCTGGACGCGTACGACGAGCTGGTGCATCACCAGATCGAGAACGGTGCAGAGGGGTTGATCGTGGGCGGGACCACGGGCGAGGGGCACCTGATGAGCTGGGACGAGCACGTGATGCTGATCGCGCACTCGGTGTACTGCTTCGGGAACAAGCTCAAGATCGTGGGCAACACGGGCAGCAACAGCACGCGCGAGGCCATGCACGCCACGGAGCAGGGCTTCGCCGTGGGCATGCACGCCGCGCTGCAGATCAACCCCTACTACGGCAAGACGTCGCTGGACGGACTCCGGAGCCACTTTGAGTAAGTTCCCGCCCTTCCGCCGCAGCCAATCGTTGACGCTCTTCAAAATTCGCGTTTATTTAATGACCAGACGGGGAGTTCTGAGGCACCCAGAGGCTCTTCAGCATTCGCGGGGGGTTCTGAAGCACTTGACAAAAGGGGCGCCTCAGAATTCGCGGAAGGTACCTGAGTGCATTGTGTACAACGTGCCAGGCACTGTCCTGACTCCTTAGTGCCTTCCCCCTCACCTCCCCTCAACTTCCTCACCTCCCCTGCAGTGTGGTGCTGTCCATTGGCCCATCCATCGTCTACAAGGTGCCTGCCATTGTTCTGAGTGCTCCCACTCCCCCCCCCCCACCCCCCTTCCCCACCTCCCCTTCCCGTCCTCCCCTTCCCCGCCTTCCCTGCAGTGTGGTGCTGCCAATGGGCCCTGCCATTGTGTACAACGTGCCGGGCAGAACGGGGCAGGACATTCCTCCCTCAGTCATTGAGGCCATTGCCACACACGAGAACTTTGCCGGGGTGAAGGAGTGTGCGGGCAACGACCGCATCGGCGGGTACGCACAGAAGGGCATTGTGGCGTGGAGCGGCAACGATGACCAGTTCCATGATGCGAAGTGGAACCACGGCGGTCAAGGTGTCATCTCCGTCGTCAGCAATCTCGTTCCAGGCAAGCCACTTCGTTCCCTGTATTTCAGTTCCTGATTTTTATTTTCTTCGTGACTCACTCTGCTTGTGTAGCGAGGGTCCTCTTATTTGTATTGTGCATTCTGACTCAGTAGGTGAAGCTTCATGAAGCATGTGTTGTGTACGGCATTCAGATGTTCTTCTTTCCCTATCACTTCATGTAACAGGACTCGTGACCCAGCTGCTCAAGGGCCCTAATCCAGAGCTGAATGCGAAAATTGCTCCTCTAGTGAACTGGCTATTCGTGGAGCCGAACCCCATTGGTCTCAACACTGCACTGTGTCAGCTGGGGCTCGTGAGGCCAGTCTTCCGCCTGCCATATGTGCCGCTGAATAAGGAGAGCCGGCAGAAGTTTGTGGACATTGTACATGAGATAGGGTTGGAGCACTTCCCAGGGGCCAAGGATGTTCGGGTGATGGAGGATGATGAGTTCCACATCATCACGCGGTTTTATTAGGTTATTTTAGAGCGATTTAGGGGTTAATATGTAGTGTTCAGTTGCACGACTGAACGGTTTCTCCACTAAAATTTCTAATAACCAAGATAAGCTGGCGTAATGTAAAGATTTTCAGGGCTTTTGGTACATAACGTGAGTCTCCAGGTGTTGAGAGGTGTTACGAGTGCAATTGAGTGAGCGAACGAGAATTCCACTATCGAAGCAAGAATACAATGAGCGAAGGCATGAGCGAAGAATATATAGCGAAACTATAGTGGTAACGGTAATGGTCTGTGGTAGTCGCGCGACGAGCCTGGGACTGAGGTTTGGGAAAGTGTCGAAGCGTAGGCCCGGAGCGCGGGTTACCAGCCGAGCCGTGAGGTCGGGATGCGATGTGCGAAAATGGCGGGATGATTATCGATGCGATGGTCGCGAGTGGTAACGGTGCTGACTGAGGTGCTACAGTGATGTACGCGTTGAGCAGGGATGCGAAGTAAGGAAAAGGGATTTTCCTTACACTACCCCCCCTCCTAAGGAGGTCCTCCTAACGAAAGCGCGTAGACGTCTTTGAAGTTTCAGCTGCGCAGATATTCGGTGAAGACAGGGTGGTTTTCAATTCTGTCCAGGGGAACCCAGTTGTCCTCGGTGGGTGTACGGTCTTTCCAGCGGATCAGGAACTCAACTTTTCGGGCTCCTCGAGGGTCGCGAACTCTGTGGCTCAAGATTTTGTCGGGGGTGATGATCGGTTCGGTTGGCGGTCGTGCCATGCTGGATGGTCGATGTCGTGGGAGTTGGCTGGTGGATGGTACGTAAGGGCGGAGTAGGCTGACGTGGAACGAGGGGCTGACGTACCAGTCAGCAGGGAGGAGGAGGTGCGCGGTGACAGGTGTGATCATGTGGCTAATTCGAAATGGCCCACAGTATCGAGGGCGGAGTTTGGGAGTGATGGGCAGGCGGAGGTTCTGAGTGTCGAGTAAAACGAGGTCGTCGGGCTGATAAGTGACGGGTCTGCGGTGGCGATCGGCGTTGCGTTTAGCGATGATATTTGATTTTTTTATTGCTTCTGCTGCCCTGGTCCGTGCTGCTTGCAAAATCTCGGCGAACTGTTGTGCGCGTAGAACGGGATTGTCGGGGTTTGGGGTCATGGGTACTGTTGGGTCCTGTCCATAATTCAAGTAAATTGGTGACTGTTGGGTCGTGGCAGATGGCGCGTTGTTGTATGCGAACTCGATGAGTGGCAGCTGCTGCTCCCACGTGTTTGGATCGTCGCACATGGCTCGAATGAGCTGCTCCATGGTCTGGTTTGTCCGTTCTGTCTGTCCGTCGGTTTCGGGGTGATACGATGAACTGAATTGTAGTCGCGTGCCGAACTGCTGCCACAAGTTCCGCCAGAAATTACTGGTAAACTTCGTGTCCCTGTCGCTGATGATCGACGCTGGTATCCCGTGCAGTCGAACGACGGTGGTGATGAAGAGTCGGGCTGTTTCCTCGGCTATGATTGATTTCCTGCAGGCTGCGAAGTGTGCCATTTTCGTCAGTCGATCGACGACGACCAGGATCGCGTCATTCCCACTCGCCCCGGCCGGTAACCCCGTGACGAAGTCCATCGTCACCTGCTGCCAAGCACGCTCTGGAGGTGGGATTGGTTGTAATTGTCCCGCCGACCGCTTCCTGGTTGACTTCATGAGCTGGCAAGTGGGGCACGATGCCACGTGTCGTTGCACGTCGGTCAACATCTCAGGCCAGTAATAGTACCGCTGCAGCTGCTGCCGTGTTTTCTCTACTCCGAAATGTCCCGAGGTAACTCCGTCGTGTGCCTCCTGTAACAGTAGTTCCCGTAGTAGCGTGTACCCTGGTACCCAGATGCGGTCGGTTCCAGCTTTTACGTAATAGACTCCCTTGGCTGCTAGGAATTGCTCTGAGTTTCCTCCTGTGAAGAATGGGTCTGTTTGATATCTGTGGGTAAATAGTCCTGTCAGTAGCGGGCTGGTCTGGGCGAGTAGTACCGCATGGATCTGGGCAGTGGGGCGGGTCAGTGCGTCGGCGATATTCGAGGCTCCTTTTTTATAGGTGACCGTATAATGGAAATTCGACTCGAGAAAGTCGAGCCACCGAATCTGTCGTGGGTTGAGGTGGGGCTGTGCACGGAGGTACTGTAGAGATCGATGGTCTGTCCGTACTGTCACGTCTGCGCCGGTCAAGTAGCAGCGCCACACTTTGAATGCATGCACGATCGCGAGCATTTCGCGGTCGTGTATCGGGTAATTTCTCTCACGTGGATGCAGTTTGCGTGATTCGTAGGCGATGGGTTGGAGGCCGTTGCCGAAGTCCTGTAACAGTACAGCTCCGATGGCGATGTCGCTCGCGTCGGTAACAACCTCGAAGGGGCGATGTGGGTCAGCGATGCGAAGGACGGGTGGTGAACAGAGAACAGCTTTCAGGGCAGAGAAGGCAGCATGCTCTTTCTCCCCCCACGTAAAAACGACCCCCTTACGCAGTAAATCAGTGAGAGGGGTTGTTAAGCGTGCCATGTCGTGGACGAACCGACGAACGTAATTAACGAATCCTAAAAAACCTTGTAGTTCCGTGATGTTCGTCGGGGGATGCCACGCTTTTACTGTGAAGATAAGAGGTAATCGGTAGGAGCCATAGCTAGGACTAACCTAGCTAGGCAAGAAAGAAGTTAGGCAAAAGAGGGGTTGTACTAGCAAGCAATGAGATACATATACGAAACCCTAAGGGGTTATACTCGCTATAGAGTACCCCACTGCAGGCTAGAGAACAAATATAACATTCTGACACACCCCCATAGCCAAAGTGGGGTGTAATCAGCAGAGCAAACAAAACAGAACAAGCTCAGGGTGGATCACAATGTCACCACACAGTCTGAGCACAAGTTCAAGAAGTAGTAGTATAAAATTCACAGTTATAAGCAAAGCTAGAGGTAGTCACAACGGGCAAGTGAGGCGGAGGAGAGAGAGTGAGAGGAAAGGAGATAGGAGGCGACGGATGAAGCTGCAGACACACGGGCAACAGGAGGCAGTCTGGCACAGCGGCTACCGGACGAAGCCCCCGGACTACAGGAGTAACTGGCCCCGCGGCTAAAGTAGCGGCAGACGAGCAACGGACCCACGGGCGGCTGGCACAGCTGGCTACGATTGGGCTACCGGACGAAGTCCCCAGACTACATGTGCTGCTAGCGATACAACGGCAACCTCCATGCAGCTTCCCCAAGCTGTCCTACTCCCCCTGGCACACACCCGCTGCTACACTGCTAGCTCCACTCCCACGCACCCCCCTTAAACCCTAAACCCCAGTCTCCCACTCATCCACCCCCCTCAGCGACAGCTGCAGCAGTGGGAGACGAAGGAGGAGGAGGAGCAAAGGGAGGAATGCACAACCGCCACCCCCATACTCGCCACCCCAAGCGGCCCCCTCAGGTCGCCTCGACAGGCGACGGGAAAAGGGGGGGGGGGGGGGGAGGTGCACGTGCCGTAGGTAGGGCGATGGGGTCGGGCCTGTAGGGCGGCGGGACGACGGGGCTGCAGGTAGGGCGGCGGGGCCGGGGCCAGGGCCGCAGGTAGGGTCGCCCGAGCCGCGCGCAGGCGGCCCGAGCCGCGCGCGGGCCTGGCGCCGCCCGTACGGGTCGCGCGCGGGCCTGGCGCAGCCCGTACGGGTGGTGCGCGGGCCTGGCGCAGCCCGTACGGGCTGCGCCAGGGTCGGGCGCGGCCCGTACTGTCTGAATGAGAAACAGGAATGTGTGTGACTAGCAAGAACAACAGTACAAATATGAAACCCTAAACTGGTGTACCCCCTATGGTGTGACCCACTACAGCCTAGAACCACACAAACATATAATGTTTGACACACCCCCATAGGCAAAGTGGGGGAGACCTAGGGGTCACAAGACCAGTCAAGGCAAAGCAAGGCAAACAAGCTCAGGGTGGATCTCGAGGATTCCACACAAATTCCGAGCACAAGTAAGCGGTCACAAGACCAGTTCACATGCAGTTTCATAACAGAGCAAGAGGTACAATGATCACAACCTAGCAAGGGCAAACATGCAGGTATATATATAATGATCACAGTACAGGCAAGGTCAAGAAGTAAGCAAGTGAGGAACAGTCGGCACAAGGCCTAGAAGAGTGCAAAAACGCTGATGGTCAACAGGCGGAAGCGCCTTGGTGAACACATCAGCAGTGTTGGCCTCAGAGGCCACGTAACGCAGAAGAAGCTGACCACGCTGCTGTAGCTCTCGAGCTAGAAAGTAACGCAGAGCAATGTGCTTCGTCCTGTGCTCCAGTCTGTGCTCCTGACACAAGGCTATGGTTGCCTTGTTGTCGACGTACAGCACTGGAGGAGAACGAGGCTGCTCTCCAAGGTCACTCAGCAGGTAGGTGAGCCAGCGAAGCTCCTGGGCAGCCATGGCCGTGGCGTAGATCTCAGCCTCACAGCTGGAGCCGAGAACAGAAGAGGAACGAGTAGAACGCCAAGAGACAGAGCCAGAGCCAAGACTGAAGGTGTACCCCTGAGACGACCGCTGAGTAGCCTGGTCGTCTGCCCAAGAAGCGTCTGAGTGCCCAGTGAGAACAGGCCGGTCTCGCCCTCCAAGCACTAGCCCCATGCCCGACGTACTGCACAAGTAGCGCAACACCCTCTTAGCTGCATCCATGTGCTCCTTCCGGTGACGGCCGGGAGCGACATAGCGTGCTAAGATGCTGAGAGGGTATGCAAGGTCAGGTCGAGTGCAGGTCATCAGGTACATGAGGCAGCCCACAAGCTCTGGATACGGACCACTCGGCTCTACGGACTCATCCGAAGGCAGAGCTGAGAGCGAGTGTCCCGTAGGCAGAGGAGTGGACTGAGGCGAGGAGTACGTGAAGCCGAAGCGCTGAAGGACCTGCTGCACCATGTGTGACTGAGTCAAGGTGATGGTGCGCCGTGCTCTGTCCCGGGTGATCCGCAAGCCAAGATAGCTTGTCAGTTCACCCAGGTCTGTGCACGTGTGTCTCTTCTGCAGC